CCCGGGGTTTCCCTTGCCATGGTTTTTTTTTTGCAGGGTTGCCCTTGCGTTTTTTCCCTAATTCTGACCCCCTGGGGGTGAAAATGTTAAATAAATGTTCATACGGGGGCCTGCACAGATCCCTCTGGTAGGGACCAGTAAAGAGCTGGGAGAATGTGTCCCAGCTTTTGGGGGGTGGAGGTTCTGGGGAGTTCTTGGGGGCCAGACTGGGCACTCTGGCCCAGGCGAGCAGGAGTTGGGCAGGAGGGCTGAGCAGGCCCAGTGGGGGCCGGCGGAGCTCCTGGCCCCCGCACTGAAAGGCGTCCTGGGCCTCCAGAGCTGCACTCCTATTGTCCTCAGGTTGTGGGGGTGACAGGTCAGCGAGGGTCACAGGAGGGTTGCTTAGCTTCTGGGAACTCCCCCCGCAGTTGCTGTGGCACCCGGGGCCAAATCCCCCCCTGTGCCCATCCTGGGGGGAGATTCAAAAGGGTTGGGGCGGGGGGGGGGGGGGGAGAGCTGCACTTTAATGGGCTTTTAACTCACCCCCCTCCAAAGAGATGGGGGGTGTCAGGGAATTGGGCAGGGGGGAAACGAAGAATGGAAGAGATTTCTGTTTTCCTTCTCCATCTGGCTCTCCTCTGCCCAAGCTACTTAGCTCACACACACTGTCTACAGTTGTCTTTTTAGGTCTGGGGCCCACTTTTTCAGTTTGTGGGACTCCCACCCTCATGCCAGATGCTGCTCTTTCGAATGTGGTCCTACACCTTTCCTTTTCTTTCCTTCCCATGGAACGAGTCCCTTCCCCAGGAGGTGCTGAGGGCCTGGAGGGAGTGTTGGGGCCCAGACTCCCCAGAGGGGAGATCAGAAACTTCATGTCAGTGAAGTCCCCTACCCTCTGGGCAGCTGCAGGGTCATGCTTAGAAAGAATTGGGGGGAGTAGGGGGCAGGTGAGTGAGGGGCCGGGCTTCGAGAGGACCAGCAGGGGAGAGAGCTGTAACCGCCCCCCCCTCTTCTTGTACCATCCTGGGTTACTCAGCCAATGGCCACTGTTTCCTGTGTCTGCCTCCCAGTCCAAGGAAAAGGGAGGTCCCCCTAGGAGGGAGCTCCAGTGAGGGGGCGGGTAGAGGAGAGGGCCCAAGGCTGGGAAAGGGTTCCCAGGCCCCTGCTCTTTTGGGACCAGAAAAGCCAACCACTCTACCAGCCTCCCTTCCGGTATGACTTTTCTCTCCTCCCTCACCCCCTTTCATGCCAACGTTTTTTATCCTTACTGTCAGGAGTTTGGGGCCGGGGAAGCGGGGATGGATGTTTCCCCTTCTGAGGGTGAAGGTTGACCTGGGGAGGACCGCACTCGAAAGCACCCTCTCAGTGGGTGGTTTTCTCCTAGGGGAGCACCTCTATTCTGAGAAGGGAATGGCGTGCCCCCCACAGCCCCACTCCAAACCCTACCCCTGCAGAAGTGGCCAGTGTGAGGGCAGGAGCCGGGCTCATGGTGGCTCTGAACCCAGACTTCCTTACACCCCACTTCCTGAGGACTCCACAGACAGGACCACCGTCTGGGGGTGCAGGGCTCCCTGCCACCACCGCCCACACTCAGGCCCTGCCTCTTCCAGCACCCACACCAGCTGGTCTCGGCCCAGAGGAGCTGCATGGGCCGCCCT